TTTAGGATAGAGAGAGAGAGAAACATCAATGTGAGAGAGAAACATTGATCGGTTGCTTCTCATACATGCCCCAACACTGCATCAAACCTGCAATCCATGTATGTGCCCTGACCGGGAATTGAACCACAACATTTTGGTGCATGGGCCAATGTTCCACCCAATTGAGCCATCCTATGTCGTAGAATGAACTATTAGTGAATTAGCCACACTACTAGAGGGAGGCAGACCAGCATAAGGCTTAGTCATTAGTGGTTGATTAAGGGACAGCAATGCAAATGCATGATGCATGAGGAAAAGTCAGCAGGGCTTGATGCCTGAATGGGCCTACATGGTACAGCACCAGGAGTTACTCACCAGGGCTTCCTTCCAGAGGAAGGGCCTTCTCACTGACTATTATGGCGAAAACTGTCTCTCTTTGACCAACTATAATGCTTAGCAGCTCTGTTTTAAATGTTTCCTATCAAGAATTAGACCCATAAAACTCAAGTAAAAGGAAGACATGTATTTCAGCACAAGGATAGACCAAGAAAGATATGTGAAGCTATGAGAGGAGGTATGTCCAAATACTACCCCAAAATAGAGACCACTTTCAACCTGGGTGTCTTCGTGTGTTTGGGTGGCTATAACAAAATACCATAGACTGGGCGGCTTATAAACATAAACATTTATTTCTCACAATTCTGGAGGCTGGCAGTCCAAGGTCAAGGTGCCAGCATGGTGTGTTCTGGTGGTGGCCTTCTTCTGGGTTGTTGACTTCTCTCTGTGTCCTCATCTGGCAGAAAGGGCTATGGACCTCTCTGAGCCTCTCTGATAAAGACACTAACCACTTCCCGAAGGTCCCATCTCTTGATGCCATCACACAGAGCATTAGGATTTCAACAGATGAATTGGCAGGGGACACGGATATTCTGCCCACAGCACTATGGAAGAGTGCTATAATTGCACAGGCTGTTAAAGAGACAGACCGGCCAGGAGAGGAGAGGATACTCTAAGGCTCACTAATCACACAGTCCTGATGAACTTCACATCTCTCTGAACTTCTCTGAGGAGCCAGAACACAGGAACACGTTCTCAATCCATGCCTACTAATAATAGCAGACACTTAACAGGTTGGAGAATAAAGTATGGAAGTCTTGACAGACTAGCTTTTCTCCTGGCATAATTGCAATCACTCTGTATCTCTAATGGGTGTGCTGTTATGGTCTCCATCTCTCATTACTTGACTTTTTGTTCTCTTCCCTTCTTTAATTAATTGAAGACTTTCTGTGGTTTCTAGAATATTCCACCAGAGATCCATTTTTTCTTGTCATTTTCTCATTCTACCTTCTCCACTGCACAGCTTCCCCAACCAACTTTCCTATTCCATTTGTGACCCATCAGCACACAAAATAAACTGGTTATGAAAGGTCTGGTAAGGGTTTGATAGAAGAGCCTCGGTAGACTTGAGTTTTATACCCAGCGAATGTGTTATCATTGGCTCCCTTTTGGTATGAGGTTTAACTCTTTAATTCTGGCATCCTCATCTACTCAATGAAGATTCCAACATCTGCTCTGGCGGGCAAGTGAAGACTGTGATGAAGCACATAGCACCTCCAGCACTTCTCCGAGAGCAGGCTTTCCACAGATAATGTTCCTGCTGATCTTTGTAGGAAAGCTATGACGACACTGACAATGGACTGATTTATGTTGCAATAGTCATTCATAACTTTAAAAAAAATTAGGCACACACAGTAACTTACAGAATTTGTCTTTCACTTGATTAAAAATTTAGCATTTTAAATATGCCACATAAATTGGTAACTTAACAATTTAATTGTAATCAATAGTGGTCTCTTGAACTTCATAATAAATATATGTTAAATCTTCAAAAACAGCATTATACTTTCCATGTGAGTATAAGAGTATTTTATTTTAGAGAGGGGAATAGCCCTATGTCTATGCTTTCAGCAGCCTACTGAATTCTTGTAAATAAAGCAGGATAAAACAACTAAAATCCTAGCTACTTTTTCTAGAGAATGTCCCCTCCTCTTCCTCATTATTTTTAAAAAGCAGCAAACGTAAGGTCAAGAGCTTGGCTCTGTTTGACTGTCTGCATGGGTCTCATTACTGTGGCCGGCTTTCCCTGGCTCCCAAGGACACCTTGCTCAAGGTCAGCTGAGATGGCTTTGGAGGAGCCACACCTGACTGTACTGGTGGAACCTGAGCTCTGAGTCATTCACTTGGCAAAGAGCTGATCTAGGAAAAGGCAAAAGTCAGAGAGATGCTGGCCTGAAAGACAGATGAGTCATGGACAAGGAACAAATCACTCTCAATGGAGGATCAACTTTAGGAAACACTGAAATGGAGAAAAGCAGTGTTTGGGGGAAAACAGCACTTATTTTTGGTCAGGACCATTTAACACACAAAAAATCTGCAAAGGTTTGTTTTTGCTCCCAGCAATTTCTCAAGTACCTACCACTTATGCTATAAAAGAACAAAAGGCCCTCCCAGGGAAGTTATGAAAAAGGAAACTGTCCAAGAGGAACTATCAATTACTTAAGTTTGAAGAAGATAAGAAGAAACTAAAACCAAAGGGAACATTATAACCTGAAATTCCAATCATATGAATAATGCATAGAAATCGGTGTCTGTATTCCTTTAAAGATGACTTACACATACCCTACACAGGAGGTTTTATATTATAAGTTGGAAAAACTCAAAAAGTTTGACTGAAAGACTATTAGAAGGTCATTTTATGCCTTCATTTTCGTTTTAGTTTCTTTAACATGGTACCACTTTTAAGAAGAATCCTCCTTGTATTCCAGGAACAAATCTTAAGTACATAAATTAAGGAGTAGTGAAAAAAGTTGACGACAATATAATACACATGTCTTCATAAGACCCCAGAAAAGAACCAGTTTTAATGAACTTTAAATGCAAAAATGGCCCCAAATAGTTGAAGACATTTGGCCAATAAGACAAAAACTATTCTTTTCTCAATAATTTTTAAAGCACTAAATAAATGTTCCTATCTTATTTATGGGAAAACTGGTATAAAACCAACTTCAAGTAACTTGTACACCATGATCTACTTGAGAATTAGATGTAGGGGCCAGGACTTAGTGTCGACAACCCAAGTGACATTGTATTAATGAATCATATGGTTAAACCCTTTTTAATCTTCCCGAAGCAGGACCTAGCTAAATAATGATACTGACAAAGCTCAAGATGGCTATGCCTGCGAAGGGAACTGACTGTCTTCTCCAGATAGTTCCTCTGGGAGGGAGGAAGGAGGGGCCTCCACTTCTCGAATGTCTATGTGTGCCAGGCACTTCCAGAACTATGCCATGTAACCTTCCCCAAACCCCTACTAGCTTGCTGTTATTCTTCTCTGGCTTATGGGAAACTGAGGTGCAGAAAAGTCCATTAGCCGTGGTGAGCAGGAAGCTAAGGTTATAGCCATGTCTACTCAAACCCCGTGTCCCCCCTCTCCCCTCCCAATCCTTTCCTGGCCACTAGGAGCAGCAAAATAACCTGCTGTCAGAAACTGGCTCGGTGAGCATTAACATCACGTGGCTGGGTATGAGAATAGAGGTGCTGAGCACCATGAGAGGGGCCCATAGGCCCCTGTTTGCTGCGAACTTTTCCTGCTTTTAGCATTTGAAAGTCCCACATCCCAGAAAAGCCCTCACCTGGGGGCAGATGGAAGGGCTTCTAGGCTGATGCAGAGTACAGCCCAGTCAGAAGCATTCCCCATTCAATCCACCTGTGCTCAGGGGCAATTCTACTCCTCCCTGCCCCCTTGATAAAGGCCTGGGGGTGGGAGGTACCCCGTTCCTTCGAGCCAACAGGAGCCCAAGGCTTTCATATCAGAACTTCTTATATCTGAGATAAGAAGATAAGGTAATTGGTGGGACGTGGATTTCAGGGTAGGTTTTGCTGGTTTCTCTTTGTCTCTTTCGATAGATTGTAGAATTCCACCTGGTACAAGCTGATTCTTACTTGTCAGGCTAAGACAGATTCTGAGGTTACTGGACAGTATTAACATCTACCTAACAATGTCCTGCATAATAACAAATGATAAAATGCATAGCGCACTATATAAGCAATGGTACAGGACCTAAAGAGGTTGGAGAGGAGACTCCAGGAAGGCTGTCAATCAAATCAGAACACATGGTCACTGGGGAATATGGCATCAAGGACAAGACTTTGTGTTCTCATGAGGGCTGCTCTTTACCACTCTTCATGTCATTGCAGACAGGACTTAGCCAGAGAGCTGTCTCTCTATTTCAGAAACATTCCCAATCTCCTCACTTGCTCTCAGGCCCTCTGTGAAGAGGAGGGACATCGGGACCTTGACGTTTGTCCACTTCCTCAGCTCCTTCATGGGTCTGGTGAGAGGATGCCTCCAGACTCTCCACCACCTGGGAGTGGCGTGGACATGGGGCAAAGTACCCAGCAGTGCCTTCCATGGTGCACACACACCTCCAGCACTTGCCCGGCTCTCAGGCTGTCCCTCGGCTGGCACATAGGTCCCACCCTCTCCACATGGCCTCCTTTGAGAGGCCATCCTGTGAATATCTCCTTCCCAAAACTCCCAGGGCACTTGGTGCTGATCCCATACTATTTGGCGTGTCAGAAAACACCACCTCATTTCCCCAGCTACAGACAGTGTACTGCTCACTGTTGAGTAAAGATACCCAGTTTTATATAGTCTTCAAATCCATGTACAGCTACCTACCTGGTTACTATTAAATATAACACAGCTTTGAAAACTCTAACTGCTGGTATGTAGAAGACATCGTGGAAAGCTTTGGGAAAGCAAATCATCATCACTACTACTATTTGGTGCCAGCAGGGACCTCAAAGGAGGGGACTCTTTATTTTTATTTTATTTTTTTTGCCAGACAGCAAACTATCTGAAACCTTGCCTCATTGTCTTAATGTAATAATGACACAGGTTTTCAGAGAAAATCAATAACTTCTGCTGAGAATGGGTCAAAGCAAAGCAATATACTTACTTGAAAGGAATGAGTAATTCACGGAGGATAGGCAGAAGTCACAGGAGTCCTTCCTTTCTTAAAGTACTCCCTGCAGCAGAAGTATCTGAAATTAGAGGAAGAAAAGGCTGCTATTGTTGTTTTATTTGACAGAAATAGGCAGTCAATTAAATATATGTAGCAACAGAAAATGATAATTCTTTTAAAAGTTAGCCAGTAAGCTTTAAAATACAAATAACAAACATGAAGGTAAACCAAAATGTGTTAGTTTTTATAAACTTTATTTAAAGCCAAGAGTTTTGCTCCCTTCAACTGTGGTGTTTTGTTTTATTTTTAATTCTCACCCAAGGATATGGTTTGATTCTAGAGAGAGAGGAAGGGAGAGGGAAAGAGAAAAACATCAGTGTGAGAGCAACATCGATTGGTTGCCTCACGGACATGCCCCAACTGGGAATCGAACCTGAGACCCTTCAGTACACAGGACAACACTCAACCACTGCGCAACACCAGCCAGAGCTCAGCTGTATTTTTTAAGGAGACACTCAACCTTAGACAGCAATTATACAGAAAGGAGAATATAAACATCCAGTTGTGAGAAGTCACATAAAGGTTTCCAGGATGTCATCTCATTTTTGGAACTGAGTCAGTCCACCCGAGGTTGATAGATGGGGTGTTAGTTTCAAAGGGCCTTAGAGCCCATGTGGTACACAACCCCCACTTCAGACCAGGAACCAGGGGCCCACTCAGGAACCAAGTTCTACTGTTCTGGGCTCTGGGGGTTAAGACCAAAATCTCTGACCTCTGAGTCTATACTCCAGAAGGAGGAGACTAAATATAATAGATACCATCTCAGAATGTCCCACTGGGCTGGAAAGTGGAGACATCTGAGCAGAATCCTGGAGGCAGTGAGGACATGAGCCATGGGTCTATTGAAGGAAGCAATTTCCTGGCAGAGGAGGGCAGCCAGGGCCTGAAGTGGGGACACAGAAGTGGCAGTTAAGTCTGTGGCAATGGATGAACCAACCAATGGAAAGCAGGTGACAGGAAGCTGATGAAGGATAGAACCTTGGGGAATATCTACTTAAAAGGTAGGTAGGAGCCCTATAGCCAGTTTGGCTAATGGATAGAGGGTCATCGGGCTGCAGACTGAAGGGTCCCAGGTTCGATTCTGGTCAAGGGCACGTACCTGGATTGCAGGCTTGATCCCTGGCCCTGGTCAGGGCGTGTGCTGCGGGAGGCAACCAATCGATGTGTCTCTCTCACATCTCTCTTTCTCTCTCTCCTTTCCCTTCCACTCTCTCTGAACATCAATGGAAAAATATCCTTGGGTGAGGATTAACACTCACACACAAAAAAGGTGGGTAGGACAGGAGACTGGGAAGGAGCAGTCAGAGACAGGGGGACACAGGAGGAAGGCCATCAGGGCTGGAGAGCTGCTGCCTTTGACAATCAGCTCTGAGGACACTTCCCACTCAGAGAGTAAAGGCTGGGGAAGGACGGCTTGTGAAAAAGGAAGTGTGGAGGCCTGACCAGGGCAAAACACTTCAGAATTAGGAGGGATCTCTGACTGCATGCCCTGCAGCATTGAAAATCTGTTTTCATGTACACATTTTACTGGTGGCAAGCCTGGTGACCCTGATAGTGAACTTGCCTTCCAAATTTGGCAAGATTTAAAATATGTCTAAATTCAATTAAGTGTATAAGAAAAGCAAAAGGCCTTAATCATAGTAAGATTAAATGCAAGTGTTATAACCGAAGCCCACATTTTACAAGCTTGTCTTTAATAAGCATGTACAAAACAAATGACTTTAATAAATAAAAGAGTCTGGTTAAATAAATAAAAGAGTCAACAGGCATCCAACAACAAATGACAATTCCTGGCAATGCCAACAGTTCCAGAAATGATCACTAAATTACTTAAGAGTCCAAGAGTAACTAAAGTATTTTGTAAGTCCTTTGAGATGCATTTTTAAACTTTCACATACATTTAAAGTTTTTTCAAATCCCATGTGATGTAAATCTATTAAGACAAATAAAAACACTTCCATGCAACAATCTAATGTGTATTCTTAGAAGAGACAGAAGAAAAAAATATATAGTTTATACAGTTGACCATCGATCATTGTTTTGAACTATGCAGGTCCGCACTTACACATGGATTTTTTTCCATAAACACCTGTACTGTTTTCTGTCCTCGCTTGGGTGTCCGTGGATGCAAAGGGCTGACTGTATGCACTGATCTAGGCCATTTTATATCAGAGACTTGAGCATCCTTGGATACTGTTATATGTGGGGGGGAGTCCTGGAGACAATCCCCCGCGGATACTGAGGATAGTTAAGCTTTTGGGTAGTCAAAAGCTATATGGATTTTGGACTGTGTGGGATTGAGTGCTCCTAACCCCCACATTGTTCAGTGATCAATTTATTACATTTAATACGGGTCACAAATAAGACACATGGTGAAACTGAAAGTCAATATAAGAGAGAGAGAACAGATCTGTGGCCCACACTGACCCCCACTTAACATTAATGGTAGTGGATGTGGTACAAGATGGATGGGAAACAGTTCATTCTGGATCAGGCACTACTAGCTCTCTACTCCTAAAGCCTTCTGGTTTCCTCCAGCCCCCTTTCTAGAGAACTGGTCACCCTGTGTGCACTCACCAAGCTAAGTGCCCCGTTCTGCTCTTTACACTCCCTATTATTGTTTGCTGTCTCCCCTAAGTAGGCTGTTGCTTGCGGGGTGGGCTGTGTCTTCCATCTTTCTCTGGCTAAGGCTTAGCACAGAACCTAGCACAGAACCTAGCACAGGGTAGGTGCCGCTAATTATTGAATAAAATGAAAGAAAAATAAATAAATACACTTAGATGACAGGCCTAGTGTCTCTTGAAATGTTTTTTCAATCCAGGAAACTTTAGGAGGGTCAACCCTGAAATATTTATTGATTGCTAATGACAGATCCCCCTCCGTTCTTTTCATATCACAGATGGCCAAGGGGCCAGCCACACAGCCACTCATACTCCTCCATCCAATAGCAGGTATACCCAGTGCTCCTTCCTTGTTACAATCAGTCCAGGCCTTGTTCATTCAGCCCCGCTGCTTCGCGCCACATCATATTCTACATGAAGTGACTTTTCATTTTCAAACTGATGACCACTTTTACGGCTGTGATTATAAGCCGCTAGGAGAAAAACTTCGAAAGTCTTACTTATAACCGAGACTGTTTTCATTTAAAAATACTATATGTTTTGTACTCTAGTTCATGCTAATAGACCTATTTGATGGGTCAGTAATGTCATTCTCTCATCAGTAAAGAGCTATGAAATTACAAGGAGGGGAGAGAACAAAATTTTAAAGTGCCCAAGAAATTTATCTTTTACTTTCTTATCTCAGAAATATATAAAGATTCTTTTTAATGTAATTAAAGATGGTAAGATGTGATTCAGCTGAAGTTAAAAGTGCAGATTTTGCAAACATGTAAATAACATTTTATTTGGTGCTATTAGAAAAATGCTCCTTTAGTATATGGTGGAAGGTAGGCTATCACAGTGCATTACACAATATACACATATCACTTATGTTACATTTTGAAGAAGTTCCTTCCAGGCACCAAGAGTCTTTTAAGACCCAGCCCCTGGGAGTCAACACCACTTAGAATACCCCCCACAGCTTCGGTGGCACACAGCTTAACACAGGGCTAAGCTCATAAAAGGAGGTTTACTAGTACAATTTTTACACCTGACAATAATTTATTTTTAAAAATTATTTTTAGAAAGAGAAAGATAGATGTGAAAGTGAAACATTCATCAGCTGCCTCCTGCACGCCCCCAACTGGGGGTCGAGCCTGCAACCCGGGAATGTGCCCTGACCGGGAATCCAACCAGCAGCCTTCCCATGCACAGGAGGATGCCCAACAAACTGAGCCACACTGGCGGGGGCAACACTCATTTATTTTTAAGGCAGTCTGCCTCTTAGAAATTCTTAAAGACCAAGGTAATTTAGGAAACAGTTTAGGAGATGAAGAGGGAGAGATGATTATAGAATGACATCAATTTATTCTTCCCCAAAGGAGCGTCCAAGCCTTAGTGTGGATACAGAGAATGAGGGAGTGAACCGGGAGAGCAGGGTCTGCACACGTGAACAAGGGCAACATCTTTTGTTGCACTTTCCACCACTGCTCTGCCACCTTCTGGAATCGGAAGGAGGTGGGGTTTGTTCCCAGGGAGTCCAACGAGGAAGTAAGTGCTCAATAGAGCACCCCTCTTATGGTCATTTCAGCACACATGGTACCTTAAAACTGAGCACTGCAGATTGCTTAAAGGCACAGGGAGCCTGTATCACAATGGATGACTATCAACCTTTCTTATTATAGATCAGTGGTTCTCAACCTTCTGGCCCTTTAAATACATTTCCTCATGTTGTGACCCAACCATAAAATTATTTTTGTTGATACTTCATAACTGTAATGTTGCTACTGTTATGAATCGTAATGTAAATATCTGATATGCAGGATGGCCTTAGGTGACCCCTGTGAAAGGGTCATTCGACCGCCAAAGGGGTCGCGACCCACAGGTTGAGAACCGCTGTTATAGGTGATACTGTATTACAATAATTGACAAACTTTCATAATACTTGTTTTTTCCTTAAGACTGATATTGGAATGAATTATTACATTGGATGATTTATTACCTTCAGAATGGACAAGGGAGGGGTTTGGGGAGGGGCAGTGGAGCAGAGTTAGTGATCTGAAGTTTTCCTCTACCAAACAATACACGGAACCCCTGTAACCCGTATACACTTTTAAATCAAAGCAGTTTTGTTTAAACAAAGTACTTAAATGGCCACGTTTGGCTTTTCAGGAGCAGGGAAATAATTCCCGATGGCTTTCAGATACCACTGGCTCTCCACTGATAGCAGACGCATGGTGGCAGCCAGCCAGTCGTGTGACTGGTGACTCAATACACAAGTTTCTGTGGTCTCCACAATCGGATACGGTGAGCATATCCATGTTTAAGTTTGAGGACTAAATGGTAGCAGGGGGCTCTTCTGAAATAAAAGAGAACTCTACGGAGAAGGTGCATAGAGAAGCAAAATCAATGCACTTGTTTGGGTTTCTTTAAGCTCAGCCTTGGCCATTTAAATGTTTCCTTCAGAATGTACCATCTTTATTACAGAATTTTAAGATTACTTATTGTTTGAGGTGGAAAACAATCCAGGCAATCATTAACAGAAGATTTAAAATGTTGCCAAGCATTAGTCTGAGTGGTAAGAACCCCACCTTCCTGTGATTAATTTCAACTCCAAAAGCAACATCCCTGTTAAACAAAGCCCCGGAGTCAAAAATTCTCTCTTTGGCCCAGGTGAATACACACCTATACATATCTTTGGCAGAATGAGATATGCTCTCACTCTTCGTGGTATGAAGGCTTAATGAAAACTACAAAGGGCGAAACAAAGAAAACCATCCAAAATGAAGGCTGCACTCAGCTTTGAAGAAACAATAGCACTTACTTCCCCCAGGACCCTGCACTGGCCTCAGGAGAGCTTCTGCCCTGTCCTAATTCACGTGTTTCCCTGAACTCTCCCAGACTGCTCATTATTCCGGAGAGCCTGGGCTCCATGCACACAAAGTCAACAGGATACTGAAACGCACCTCCAAAGACACCTCGATCGATGCAACCTCAGGCTTTCCAAAACAGAAGAGAACCAATAAGAATCACTCCCCAGCACATGCACGCTTGGAACAAGGTAAAAACAATATTCCTTCATGAATCGAGTAGCTGTTCACCAGCCAAGCCTTCTCCCGGAGAACATATTTTGGTACGGAACGCCGGGCTAGGCATGCTATTAACAAAAAAAAAGCAGGATCAAATTAAACAGGGGACACGATGAACTCGCTTCATTTCATGCATGGCTGGGTTTTCCCTGCGAGATAAAGACTCAAAGTAATTACCATGAACTGAAACTTCCTCACTGATCGCCTTTGGCAGCTGGCAGTGGCTGACTGCCGATGCTCTACAACAAAGAAGAACGCCTTCTCTTCAGTGCCTTCCTCCTCCCGTAACGTTACCAGCTAAGCACCTCCACCGTTGCCAGAACACAGTGGAGTATCTCTGTATCTATGTCTCCAATGCATAAGGAGTACAGTGGAAACCTATCAAGCTGGCGAGCAGTGATGCTCGCAGCCAATGAGGAGAGGCTCGGGCGGAATCCAGCACATGCTCTCTGAGGCGCAGGCTGTCACCAGCGTTTAGCAGGCTGCTAATCTAATTATAGCTAGTTTTGCGAGCACAGAGCTACTGGAGCAAAGCACAGGAGCAAATTAAATTTTAATAAATTAAACCCCAAAGACAAAATCATCTTGATTTCCTGTCATTTTGAGGATGAATGTGCCACCTTGTAAACTGTAAGTGATTTTTAAAGTGCATTCTTGTTTTGCCTCCAATCTCGAGAAACAAAGAGTGGTTACCCCTCACGTCGGGTCCAGCTGACTTGCACTGCGGATTCCGGCACTGAGAATAAATGGCAAAATCAATACCTCGAAGGTATTAGTGCTAGCGCTGTAAAATCTGAGGCTTACTTTATTAACCCTGATTAGCAATTTGCCACTTATTTGTCCTAAAATGCTAATTAGTCTCCAATAGACTTTGAAATACCATGTAATTTCTATGCATAGTGGAAAAGTGCTCATCAAGGTGCCAAAAATCATACTCCTGAGGACAGTAATCAATAATAATTTAGAGCTACAAGAGATGGAAGGGGTACCAGAAATCACTGTACAAAAAAATTTAAAGAAATTTGCCTACTCTTGAATCCAGGTAAAATGATTATGGAGTTAAAATTATTGTGGAGTTTTTGGATGATCTTCAATAAAGTATTTTTAACTCCATAATCATTTTACCTGGATTAAATACTTTGCCCTAGATTGAGCCTAAAATGATGACCAGCTATCAAATAAGATATCTTATTTTGAATCTGTTCAGAGACTATAGTTGAGTAGAACTCATACTAAGAAAAAAGTGAATATCCAATTTTCAAAGTAAATTCTGTTAACTTCTGTGATTTCTAATAATCAAACAGAACTGGATGATATAGTCAGCCTAATAATATATTGGACCAAAATAGAATTTTTCCTGGTCACATTGAAAAGCTTACCACGACCACATTGTGTATGTTGAAATTTATCTCTTAAGGAAATTATCTGTGTACTTCTTGCTCGTATGCCCCTTGACCTCCTTGAGTTTTCACAAGCCTTTCCATATCATATTTACAGCATATATTTTCAATAACAGAAAAGTTTGCCCACTGCACAATTTAATGGTAAAATTAGTTCTAGGAGCCAAATCCTGTGAGAGGCAGTTGGAAGCATGGGTGAAGAGCATATTCTAACAGCCATACCACCTGTGTTTACATTCTGGATCAGCTACTTCCTACTTGCCTGACTTGGGACTAGTGACTGGATGTCTCTGGGTCTCAGAGGCAATAATCAGAGACGCCTTGCAGGATTGACAATGAGCTATTAGGATTCGGACAGGACCTGGCACAGAGTGAGTTCTAAATTAAGTTATTATTAATAGCAGCAATCTTTTCACCACATCATATTGTCTACCTTCTTTCCCAGTAACACCCAACTCAAAACAAGAAGTGTCTAAACACTTCTCTATTGTACAGTTTTGTCAGATACACCATTTAGAAGTGATTCATAGTGACAAGCTGGTGGCAGGCTTGATTAATCATACAGAGCTGTTATGGGGATTCACTGTGGTAACCAAAATTATTTCCCCCAACTTTTTGGCTATGTAACACTCTCTAATTTCACTTAATTCTATATGAACCAATCTTAACAGGAATTTTCAGGAAATTAAGGGCTTACAATTACATTTCATTAATGACTTGCAATATAGATTAAATGATATTATACATTTGAAAAGTGTTTTCTATGAAATATAAATCAAGGAAAGTTTGTAATGAGGTGTTTGATGAAATTTAAAACAACAAATTTATGTGAAAAGGAGAGAGAAGTTAGCCAGACAAATGCAACTTCTGTCCCTGCAGCTTATATATTTATTGGTTCTCCCTTTCTTGTAAATACGTTCTACAAATTTAATAGTCCTGGGGTGATATTAATCAAATCTGTTAATATGTTAAACTTATTTCCCGGTCCTGGCTCGGTGGCTCAATAGGTTGGAGGGTCATCCCGTATAACAAAAGGCTGAGGGTTCAGTCCCCGGTCTGGGCATGTACAGGAGGCAGCCAATTAATGTTTCTCTCACACATTGATCTCTCTCTCTTACTCTCTCTCTCTCTCTCTCTCTCTAAAAGTCAATAAAAACACAGTGTGTCCCCCCAAAATGTATACAGACTTTAATAGCTATAGCTCAATTTTGAAAATGAAATGTATTTTCATAAACATTGCTTTTATAATTATTCTAAGTGGGTGACGATTAAAAATTTTTTAAATTTATTTTTCATAATTCCCAGAAATTGGTATGTTCTACCAGTCAAGCTCCAATCCAGTGATGAGATGCCAACTTCGCATTTTTCTAGACTTGCTTTGCTTTGATTTTTACTTGAAAACCTTTACAAAATGCTAACATCCTCAACAACCATTACGACCTGCTCTAAGAAACCAAATATTCTCAGGGATTAATTAGTAGCCATGGAAAAGGAAGGCTGACTCAGAGGCATTTTTCAATCTTTGTATACCATAGACTGTTTGGGAAATAAGCCAGAGAAAGGAATGGTATGGCTCATAAACTTTAAGGGGAAGACAGCAAAGAAACTCACGGTCCATAAATTCAAGAGTGAAAAATGGTGTACAAATGTAGACACAAACACAGGCTTGCAAAACAAGATGGAGACACACCTCTAAAGAAACTGCTGTGTGTGCCACCTCGAAGCATCGTCCACGTGAACTAACAAAGCGCAATCATCATTAGCAGGAGCTCCAACTCCAAGAGGAGTTGGCTTCCGTGATTTGGCCTAAGGCACAGCTCCCTGGAGGCTGCCAGGATACAGACTAGTAACACTTCTAGGCATTTATTTAGGAAACAGCCAACAGCCCTGCCTTCCTCTTCATTTAACAGACTGCGAGCTCAAAAAAAAGGGCACTGTTTTAAAAAGCTGTTTCATTTGTCTCATGCCTGTTTTGTATAAGACATTAAGCAGACGCATCCTAAGAAAAGGAGGTCACTGTCCTTTCTTAGGTCTTTATCTTTCGGCGTATTTAGAACAAATATTCATCTGGAACTGAGTATTAGCTTATTGGTAAACTTTCTTACTACCATTCGACTAGGTGAGCCTATATATTTTTTAACCTCGGGGATAGCACTTTTATCTTTGAACTTCAATCAACTCTTCCTTGAATCTGAAAAAGCATTCATGTACTCCATAGTTCTAGGCACCTACTATGTGCCAGGACGGTGCTGGACATTGGGGATACTGAAGGCAGTGAGACAATATTCTGATTCCCACTGGACTGTCCATTCTCATTAGGAAGATAAACATAAGTTACTCATTAACAACTGAGTGGTTCTGGTGGGGAAACTGCGGGGACGTGCAGGCTGCTATGAAAGCACGTAAGTGGACACAGAGAGTGGGGTCTGCAACTAAAGGAGGCTTCTGGCTGGAGTGTGCGTGAAAGGCAAAGTCCTGGAGGGCCCAGGACCCAAGGACACAGGGCGGAGTGCGGACAGCTGGGAACAGCTCCCACAAGAGGAGGAAAAGCGTTAGGTCAAAGCCCTCTGGAAATCTGATGGCTGATTGATTCCCCCAAGTTCTTTCTAGGAATAGGTTCCCATTATCTCCCAAGTCAAAACCCTTGCTCACACTTCACTGCACAAAGAATAAAAGCGTGTACATTTCACATTTGCTACACTGGGCAAGTAGGAGCAGACGGTCGCCAGAGAAATGGTTGACCTCACCGGAGGGGTTTGTTTCTTCAAAGTCTGTTTGGATTCTCTAACCTGGGAGAATGAGGAGAGGAGGGCCTGTGTGTTGAGAAGTTCCAACAGAACGTTCAGCTTTCTCCCCTGGCCAGTGAAATGATTTGTGGCTTCCACACAACTTTAGACTGGTCAGAACATTCTGACCAGAAGTGTCTCAATTTCAGTTGTTTGTGAAACGCCATCTCGCTGGAAGGGGCCCAGGGCAGTGGTTTCTGCTCTGAGGAACAGGGACCTGGGCGTGGGGAAGCCCGATCACAAGCTGACATTTCTCCCATTTGCTGCGGTGCCCCCAGCTCAGGTCTAGGCCCCAGCGCTGCCAGGAGTAGGGGGAGGGACCAGCAGTCCTGGGTGGTCCCCGTAACGAGTGGTGGGCCAGTGAGTGATGGAATAGATAGCTTGTATGTAGCATTTCCACGGTGGCATTTCAGGCCACCAACACGAACTCACTGCTGGTGGAACTGGGCAGATGTGGTAGCAAGCGGCTCCCCTAAGCACACGCAAGGGGCTCTAGCACACCGCCCACCCCCATCACAAGGAAAAGGAACGAATGCCCAAGCTGTGGAAGTCTCCTGTGGCTACCAGGAGCTGTAGGACAACTGCTGGGCAAGCAAATGGGTAACTGGTGCCCCTTCCTTCTCTGTTCAGAACACCCACACATCAGCTTTTTTAAAGAATGTGGCATCTGGGGTACTCAATGCAGTTGTAACGTGGCTGGGCTGGGGAAAAAATGAATCAGGCTGCTGGAAATTACTCCAGCAGCTCCAAACGCATGTGCGGCCCTTGGCTCCTCTCTCTTTTCAGATTCTTAGCATCCGACCTGTTTACCATGAAGTGACCCCCTGCCTGAATAGGGCCTCAGGGGTTCCTTTGTATGTCAGTGTGGGATGCCTTGTGCAGTCAGCTCTGGGGGCCCCCTGTGAAGCCTCCCGCTGAGAAAGATGCTTATGTTTGGACAAGCGTCTTACCAGGCTCCATACATACACAGACATATGTGTGAATCCTCTCTGTGGGGTGCAGTTTATAATCTTGTAGTGTCTCCTCAAAGCCTTTTTCCCCTCTAGCGATTCCGATTTTATAATACTGGTGAAGGGCAATGGAAGGGTAGGAAACAAGGAGACAGCTAAGGAGTTTTGAATTCGAGGGGAGGCTTGCTTCCCATGGCTAGCTGTTGCTACCAAAGTAAGAACAGATACTCCGGC